TCTTAATTAACAAAACCGAGGGGCAAAATTGAAAAAATTAAAAGTTTAATGGTCAATTAGGGGTTAAATTGACAAAATCCAAGACCAAGGATGATATTGTAAAAGGCATATAACTTTGGGGTTCCAATTGAAATTTGGTAAGGGTGTAATTGCATTAAATCAAAAGTTTGGGTCAATTAAAGGTACAATTGCATAAAATCAAAAGTTGGGGATTGCTTTGAACTCCAGAGAAATCCCTATTTAAAACTTAAAACGACATTGTTTTGAGTTTAAAAAAAAAAAAGGGACCAAATAACGCGTCGTCTAGTCGCTATTCATTATCTTCTTTATTTTTTCAGAAACACTGGTTCAGTCATCCCCTTTACAGGTGCATTTAATGTACTTAAAGTCCATCGAATTTGTCAAACCGTGCACGAAACTGATCACCAGACATCCCTCTATGTTTGGGGATGGTCTTCACCGGCTCCCTAGCACATAAACGGACGTGGCACCACCCCAAAGAGGCCACCTCAGGCAGCCTGCAGCTGCAATTCAACAGTGCGACATGCCTACTTTGAACCAATGGTTGGGATCGTTTCCAATCGAATCAAGGGCTAGAATTTATTTCCATGTGTAGACAAGCTTGCCCTCTTCCACCGCCTATAAATAGAGGCTCCATTGATGACCTGAGGGAAGAGAAAATCGAACCAAAAGTTGGCCAAAAACCAGTCTTCCCTGCCAAATTTTCCTGCAACAGCCTCTTTTTCTTCTTTCCTCTCTGTCGTGGCTTTCAGCCACCACCACCACCATTCCCTATCAACTGGACATCACCTCCACCTCTAGTGGCCTCCAAAACATCTCATATGGTGGTTGCACCATTTCTCTCTCTTTCCTCTGTAAAATTTTTTTCTCCGCCACCGTGATCTTGACGGCTACGTCAGCAGCAGAGGCAGAGGCCCCCACCTTGCCATGAAGCTCCCTTCTTTTCTGAAAACACCCAGGGTAGCAGCTCTCTCCTACGCCACTCTAATAGCTGCAACCATGCATCTCTTCTTCTCATTCACAGGCCTCTATTTTGTTTCCTTCTTCCATCAGCAACCAGAATCAGCCACCGCTCTCTCCATCGTCAATCTCATCGTGCGCCGCCAGTCCATTCGCTAGCTCCCCAACACCAGGTAAGCCTCCCTCCTCTCTTATTCATTTCTTTCCTTCTCTGTACATGAGATAGTGCAACGTGAATTAACGTTGCACTATCTCATGTAACTTAGTCACTAGGCTACTAGTGACTAAATGGCTTTGGGCTGGACTTGTCTTAGCCCGGCCCAGTTGGCTAGGCCAGGTCCAGCTCGCACCCAAAAAAAATGTTGGGCCGAATTTGGCCCAACCTTTTTGGGCCAACACCAGCCCATTTGTTTTTAGGTCTGTGTTTGGCCCAGCCCACTTGTTTAAATAATATTTAATTAATTAATGTATATAATAAAATAAAAAATTTCAAAAATTTCAAAAATCCTTTCAAAAAAATTGTGATTTTCTCAAATATTTTTCTATCAATTTTGCATAATATCGAGTTGTATAGTTACATTGTAAAATACAAATCCAGTATTAAAATACAGATTTTCTCTAAAAAAATGAAAAATTCCAAAAATTTTGAAAAGTCCTTTTGAAAAATTTGTGATTTTTTCAAACATTTTTCTATCAATTTTGCATAATATCGGGTTGTGTATTTATACTGTAAAATACAAATCTGATATTAAAATACCTAGATTTTCTCCAAAATATTTCAAAAAAAATCTCAAAAAAACTTTTAAATCAATTTTTATTTTTAAAAATTATTTTCATGCATACAGCCAAATTCTAAAAATTTTCCAAGCATATTTTTATTAAAAAAAAATTGCATATTTCTCATGTTTTAAAAATCCAAAAATGGATATCATAACCAGTTTATGATCACCTATTAGGATTTGACCAAAATATCAAAAATCTTTTTTCCAATTTTCTCTAGGATCCAGATGTAAACTTTAATATTTGTGGATGTAAAATTACATGATAAAATACACCTTCAGGTATTAAAGATACAAAGTGTAGAAATGCGATGCTAAAATTTAGACTTTACAATGGTTAGCATTTAACCCGATAGGGTAGAGACTCTCTCATAAAGAGAGATATGTCTTGAGCCTTAAATAAGACCAATAAATGGAAACCCAACCTAAAAAACAATCTAACAACAATGCAGTTTATCTTAGGTAGGGTGCACTAAGGTGATGTGTCTTCCCTTTGCACAACCAGTCTCTTACTCAAGTTCTCGCAAACCATAGATTCCTAGTAACCATAATACTAGGTGGCGACTCCCAAAAATTAATTATAATTTTTCCCAACACATAACACCCCCTCATCAGGAGGCACGACAAAAAGCCTCCGCCATTGCCAGACGACATCACCCCCGCGACAGAATCCTTCCAAAAATATATAAGTAACATGTTGTCATATATGTCTCCAAATAGAATAAAGAATTCTTACCAAGCATAGAATCCAAAAATCATAAGGAAAGATAATCTCAAACCAATTAGAAAAATAATAAAGTTTTCATATAGTAACTTCTAACATGTATCAAGCTACTTTACCAAACTTTGATTGATTTGACATTTTACCTCGAACATTAAACAACACCTTTGAAATCATGAGTTTTATGCTTAATATTAAACAGTAGAAAACATTAAACTCAAGATAATTTTTTTAGTCAATTAGGTCCTTAGACTTGAAATATACTTGATGAGCACCTCAAATGGTTTTGTTGATGTCATGAGCTGATACATAATATCGAAAAACTTATACAAATATCTAATTAAATAAATTGACAATCATTTAAAAGTCACTAATAATAACTAAAAGCAAAAATAAAAAAAAATAAGAAATGGATATAGATCAAGGTATTTGATCATGCAACATGATATATTTACCAGGTTGTATTTACTAAATTTGTTTATTAAAATTAATTTATTATTTAATCAAATGATAATAGAAATAGATACACATATAAAACTGATTGAATAAAATAAAAGAGAAAAAAACAATGTAAGGCTTCACATATTAGAAATATTATATAAAAATAAATATTTTTTTATTTTTAATAATAAATTTCATATATATATATATATATATATGAAACATAAAAAATAATAGATGAGTCAGAATAACATCTAAAAAATTACATGCATATAAAACAATTTTTTTAAAAATAATCGCTATTTAAAATAGGCTAAATCGAAGAAATAAGAAATCGTAGAGGAGGGATATTAATTGAAAAATAAATTAAAAAATTATTTAAAAAATACATATTAAAAAAGATATTAATAAGAATAAAAATCAAAATTCGAATTCGAATTAGAATTAGAATTAGAATATGAAAATAAGAAGAAGAAGAAAAGCAATAGTCTAGGTGTTACAAATGTGTTTAAAAAAATAAGAAAAACAAACAACTTGGGTTACAGAACCAACCAAGTTTAATAAGTTAGTTTTATTTTAATTAAATAATAAAAAAATAGACAAGATAGTAAATGGATAAAAATTTTATTTAAAAATATTCACAATAACTTTAAAAAAAATTGAAAGTATGAAATCGAATAAGAAGGTAACAAAAAAATTTTTGAGTTAATGTGAAAGACATGTAATTTAGATAATAAAAAAAAATCAATTTAGATTAATCTATAAAATTTGTATCCCAGAACAAGAGACCGAGATAATTCAAAAAAAATTAAGTAAAACCATAAAACTAATTTTAAAAAAATATTGAATGATGAAATTAAAAAAAAAAATGAGGCAAAAAAGAAGAAGATGTCAATTCTTATTACTCGAATTATTAGACAGAAAGTGCCGTAAATGGAAATACCATAAAGTTAAATTCTTAACCATTCAAATGTTGAATAATAAAATTAAAAAAAAATCAACTATATAAAAGGATATATATATATATATATATATATATGAGAGGGCACTCAAAAATCTTCAATTATAGAGTTAAATTGAAAAGAAAAAAATTTAATAAAAAATAAAAATAAAAATAAATATATCATAAATTTTAATTAAATAATGAAATTAAAAATAAATATAATTTTTCTAAGAAGACAAGAAAAAAGATTTGAAATCAAAATAAAAAAAACTAAAATTAAAATATTAAAAACAAAAAAACCTATATATACTTTTAAAAAAAAGATAAAAAAAATAATCATTAATAACAAATTACTTATCTATTACCGACATGTGTTGTATCATGAAGAAGATAACACAACAAGATTTTCAATGACATGATTATAGGGCAGGTTTAGCTACTAAAAACCTCTTTATACTTTGACATATAGCGACGAGCGCCAACAACTTTCTAAATATTAAAAAAGCTAATATGGAATTTTTTTTTTTAAAAAAGCATTTATGAAAAGATGAAAATAACCACGAACGAGATACATGCATCGTTTCAGCTTTTTAGACAATAAAATGAAGAATTTAAAATTGTTATATATATATACACACACTGGACACTTTTTTCAAATAATCCTCAAACATAGAGGACTGATTTGTATATAATCTCTACAACGTTTTCCTGTTGTTTTCAGTTTGAGAAATTGAACAGAACACTCCCTTCCTCTGTTGTTGACTTTGAACGGCATAGATGTTGCCACATCAGCCCAATTTGAACTCCTCTAAACCTGCAACCCACTTCTGGCGCGTGCAAATCCCTGCCGACCACTAAACCCCTTCCACTCCCACCCAAAACCAGAGGTTATATCTCACGCACTGCACCCTACGTGAGCGAACCCTTCAAATTTCTAGAATCAAAACTCCGCGCCACTAACCTCTCAAATATTCCCACTCTCGCATCCACCCCACGCACCGATCCTCCCCTATTTTATTGGAGCGTGCGTAACACGTATTATATACCTAGTGGGTCTAAGTTTCTCGAAAGTTGCTAGGATACTTACACTAGCACGACACTTAAATACACGAACGCACACGCACCGTACACCTGTAAGATAAAGGATTAGTAAAGTAAGGTGACGAGTTCTAGAGAGAGAAACATTTTTTAGAGAGAGAAAGTCCCGTGCTCATTTTTTTTGAAGTTTTAGAGAGAGAAAGCGAAAGGCAAACGGAATCGAAGATCTCCACAAAATTAGAGCTCGAAACCCTAACCGTCTCTTTCTTTCTCTCTCAATAAATCTCTACCTTTTACACTGTGTGTGTTTGGCGATGTGTAGATACATGATTCTGTATGTATAGGTTTTTAGATCGTGAAAGATTCGATAAAGGTTCGTGCTTTACCCTAATTTATTGTGGTTTCTACGCTTTTTTTCCCCCTAATTGAATTTCTATGTCTGTGTTTGGGTTGATTTGGGAGTGAAATTAGGATTTTTCTCTGGGGTTGTGGTTATATTGGAAACCCTAATTTTTGGGGGTTTAGGGGAATTTTGAGGAAATTAGGGTTTTGAAAACGGGATTGAGAGGAAATTACTGTTTTGAAGGGGAAAGTTAGGGTTTTGAGGTGGTACATGTATGGCTTCTGAGAGTGTAGTAGGAGAAGGAGGAAATGGAGGAGAAGTTAGGGAGAAACAAAGGTATGCAGAGAATAAGGTTTATACCCGAAAAGCCTTTAAGGGACCCAAAAAGAACAGCCTCATCAACACCGTTGTCACCACCACCACCACCACTGATAACAACAGTAACACAAATATAACCACCACTACCACAGAAGCCGCTGGTGAAAATAACATCAACACCACAACAACCACTGCAACTGCCACAACTGAAACTGCGACTGCTCTAACCATCGCCTCTGCTGTTGCAACTGAAACCGCAGCCGCAACTAAAACCACCTCCACTGCAGCTAATGAAACTGCAACTGGGAATGAAACAAATGACAAGGAGAACTACGAGAAGGACTTGGTTGAAGTGCGAGAATCAGAACCTGTAGCAATTGAAGACACATATACTGCCCAGCAAGTGCAACAGCCTGTTTCTCACTCAGTTGTAGTTTCAGATGATTCTACCAGACTAAATAGGCAGGAAGTTCAGGAGGTGGTTCCCAGTGTGAGAGAGCAAGTTGTGGAGAGGGAGCTGCATGTGGGGAATGGGGTGCTGCTGAAGGAAGGGATGGATAATAGGGTGAAGGTGGACTTGTTATCGCGGTCGAAGCAGGAGAAGAGGGAGCTCAGAAAGAAGTTGGAGAGTGAGCTGGAATTGGTGAGGAGTTTGGTGAAGAAAATTGAGGCGAAAGAATTGCAGCTCAGTGCTGTTAGGCTGAATCATTCACGGGTGGTGCTGGTAAATGATGGGGTGGATAGAAGATTGAGGAGGGTTAATTCAGAAGTGGGATCAGTGGGTGTTCCCCGTGAGAGCACAACTCCTATTCTTACTCCTACTCCTAGGCAGTCTAGGCCTTTGAATCAGCTCAGTATATCTGTTCTGGAGAATAGCCAGGGCATGGGTGAGTTTGTGGAGAAAGAGAAGAGGACACCAAAAGCAAATCAGTTCTACAGAAATTCAGAGTTTTTGCTTGCAAAAGACAAGTTTCCACCAGCTGAGAGTAATAAGAAGTCGAAATTGAATGGGAAGAAGCAAGGGGCAGGGGAATCAGGGTTTGGGTTTGGGACAGGCACTAAGATGTTCAAGAATTGCAGTGCTTTGCTTGACAAACTGATGAAGCATAAGCATGGTTGGGTGTTTAATACACCTGTTGATGTGAAGGGTCTTGGTTTGCATGATTACTTTACCATTATCAAGCATCCAATGGACTTGGGCACAGTGAAGTCCAGGCTGACCAAGAATTGGTACAAGTCCCCGGAAGAGTTTGCAGAGGATGTGAGACTTACATTTCACAATGCTATGAAGTATAACCCGAAAGGACAAGATGTTCACGTAATGGCAGAGCAGTTATTGGATATATTTGAGACTAAGTGGGCTGTTATAAAGTCGGATTATGATCATGAGATGAGGTTTGCTTCCAGTTATGATGTGGGCATTCCTACACCTACATCAAGAAAGGCTCCTCCATTTGTACCACCTCCTCTTGATATGTGGAGGATTTTGGATAGATCAGAATCAATGACATATCCTATTATTGATACGAGACCCAAACCCATTACCACTACACCTTCTGGTAGAACCCCTGTTCCAAGGAAGCCCAAGGCAAAGGATCCAAACAAGAGAGACATGACTTATGATGAGAAACAGAAGCTTAGTGCAAACCTCCAGAGCCTACCTTCAGAGAAACTGGACAACATTGTACAGATAATAAAGAAGAGGAGTTCAGCACTCTCCCAACATGATGATGAAATTGAAGTGGATATTGATAGTGTTGATGTGGAGACTCTGTGGGAGCTGGATAGGTTCGTCACCAACTATAAGAAGAGTTTGAGCAAGAATAAGAGAAAAGCTGAGCTTGCCATTCAAGCTAGAGCAGATTCTCAGTTGAATGTGCAGCAGAAGGTAAAGCCTTTGACCAAATTTCTCAGCATTAAGTGTACTTTTCTAAAAGGAATTTGTGGTTGCTAAATTTCTACTGATATTTGGTTGCAGGTCTCAGCACCAGTTGTGGTGGAGGCATCAAAAGAAACAAAAGCAGGTAAAGTTTTCTGATTACGAGTCTTAATTTCGTTTTGGTTACCCTATAGTTTAGTTGTATTGGTTATTTGAAAGATTGTTTCTTCTGCTGGCAGATGAAAGGAATGTCTCCACTTTGTCACCTAATCACGTGGAGAAACTGGGAGACAATGGAAGTAGGTCTAGTAGTTCAAGCAGTTCCAGCAGTGATTCTGGATCTTCATCAAGTGGTACTGCTTCACATTTCTAATTTTGCAACTTCTGTCGTTGTTATGTATTATACATTTGGTCTGATGTTTGGTGAACTCATTTATTTTTCTTTATCTGCATGATTATTGCAGATTCTGACAGTGACAGCTCCTCAGCGTCTGGATCTGATGTAGGGAACTAATTGAGTACTCAAGTAGTTCAGGTGGTTGCATATTCTCCTGGGTTTGCATGAAATGTTTATGTGACTTTTATTTGTAGATAACTTGTGCACTTTCCTGTGTTTCTTCCTGTTTGTTGATTATAATATGGTATGCTCTGCTGCTCATCAATGTCACCACATTGTCATATCAGTGCTTGTCTGCTGTCCGGACTGCAAGTGCTACCCACCATTTAGTAGCAATAGAGATACTAAAAGCTTGATCATTGTTGTTGAAAAGAATGCATGTTTGCTTAGGATTTGCAGGATGTTTAGGACAACACTCTTTATTTGTGATTTTCTAGTGAAAAAACGAAAATATAATTTTATGCATGTTAAAACGTGGTATCTGATTGCCCTTGTACAGTGCCTCTTATATAGCAAGAATGTGATTGCTCTAGTAAGAGTGTTGTTTGGTGATATTGCTTAAGGTCCTGTTTAGTTATGTGGATGATGTTGGCTTGGTTATTGGTGGGTTGGTTCTGAATTCTGATAGTTACTTGATGGTACCGCGCACTGGTATGAATACCTTATAGGCTGGGTATGGATTAGTGAGGGAAAAAGAATATGACTTGGGAATTCAGAGCTTGGGAGCAGAAAATGGGTTCAGAATCTGCTCTAAGATCAGCTGGCTAATGTAATGACCTAGCATTAGAAATTGGTTTCTCAATTGGTAGAAAGCCTGCACTGTATAAATTGGTGCACACCATGACAATTTGGATGGGAGGAGATAGTTAATCATCAATGAATTTAAAATGTTTTATGTGATGGATTGTTGGTTGATTACAGCTATTATGACATATTTCAAATGGTTTCTGATTCTAGTTACATTTGGATAATATTTGAAATGCATATATATATATATATATCAGAGCATTTTAGGCTTGTTGATCATGTACAAACCTTTTGTTTTGTTTTTTGAACTCCATTTCTGGTGTTAAAATTTATATTTTCATCTTTCCCAGCCAGTGACATTTTCTTGGACCATCCTCTCTGTCTGAACCACATATGCACCATTGCCATCTCTGAAAGTTAATTAATCACTATGTTGGTTCTGAAGTTGGATTATATTTATAGGGTCTTCCACTCAATCACTTCTTTTTTGTTTTCCTGTATGCACAACTAATTCCTAAATGATGATGTAATGGAAGAAGACATTTTCTAAAACGTATAAAAAAGGGCAGTTTGTTTGTTATGGTGTTGGAGGCCTTTTTTTGTGTTTGTGTTATTTGCACAATAAAGATGTTGAGATGAAATTACATGTTCTCAAAAACCTGTTCTCTTTGACCTTTACAACATGTGCACATGTTATTATAGGAAACTCATGTCGATTTTACCTGTACAATTAATAACCAGCCTCTATTGTTTTCTTCATTTTTCTGAATGTGGTGATTTCTTTCACGGATAAAAGTTACCCTCCATGATTCTCATGTATAGCATCCCATAAGTGCACGTGTTTTGTTCTCAAGTGTGCACTATACTGGGTTGCATGCAATAATAGCTGTGATGTTAACTATGGTGCAGATTAGGTGCAGTCACAGCCACCAACAAGTCTAGATTTCAATTGTCTTAGGACTAGTTTCAAGGTCTGTCATGGGAACCTTGCTATACAATACGGCAAAGCATGACTGTCTTAAGAAACATGCTAAATTGTGGGCTAGTTGGTGAAGCCTGGTTATTCTTAGAGTTGTTTTCCGGTTGTATTTTGCCATCTGTTTTATTTTTTTCCTATTAAACTTATGGAAGAAATGCTTATCTGTGCTTTCTAGATTAGTAAAAATGAAACTGTAATTTTAAAGGATGCTTGCATGCAGATAGCATTAGTTTTTGTGGATTGTCTATTCTTGCAGGGGCATGCAAATAAATGTTTTGTAAACAGTTGAAGCGTTGTCTTGCTGTCATGGTTTTACGCAAGATGTTCCTCTCTATTCTGCATTAGCTATAGCTGATGAGAAGTATTTCTTAGGTTGTGATTGGCAATGTCTACGTTTGTTAAATAGTAGTGGTACTCCTTGCTCATATCACCTTTCCTTTTTCCGTGACAGATCTCAGAAGTTTAGGGTAGATGGCTATCTCCAAAGTTGGTGGACAATGCATTCTGGATTTGGATTCTCATGAGGAATCTGCCTTTGGTGTACAGTAAAATTCTCGAGGCTACGGATTCTCCTGCCAGTGCAAAGTGTAGTTTGTCTCTCTTGTGGGAACTGGTTTCTTCATGTGGCTTATCTGTCTGCTCTTGCATTTGTATAATACTCCCTAGAATGTGGTTATGATATAGATACAGTGGTTTGTTTTCCTCCATGTGTACATGGCTAACTACTAGTCATTTTAGTTCTAGCTACCTTGCCGTTGATTTTGTGTTAGCAGATTCAGGATTCTTTGGTGCTGTAGAATAGATAGTCTGTAATTCAAACTCATGAAGTTATAATTACTTCTTAAGAAATAATTTTTTCTGGAGATTGCTGGTTTGTGGTCTTGGCACAGATTATGGGGCTCCATATGAACACTAAACCCAACAACAGCCATATCCACTGAGTTTTACTTTTTGTATAATATTATTTCTTATGAATGTCAATGTTGTTGAAGTTTTTTTTCAGAAATATTATTAAAAAATAAAAAATGCATAAAAATAATTTTAAGCAAGGATCTTTGTATTATCAATGTTGCAACATATAGCAGTCCCTTGGATCCATTGCATGTAAATGGGGTATTTTATTTGTTGTAAAATGCCTTGAAAAAACTGAAAAGGTGAAGGGAAAAAAGAACTCATGGTTAGGGTGGCAATGTGCTGTTGAGCTTGAGCTGGATTTTTCTCCTTTCATCTCTAATTCAAAATATTTAAATTTATTACCACTATTAATCTATAATGTAGCTGCTTTGATTGGATTGGGAGAAGGGGTTTTTTGTCATTCGTTGAGTGCCCAACCTCATCCAGATTTCTTCTTTTATTTTTTAAAATCATTTTTAAAAAATAAAATATAAATTTAAAAACCAAAATACATTTCTATTTTTAAATTATAAAACTATAAAATAGAATTTAAATTTAAACGTTAAGGTCATATAAATCATTCATGAATTATAAAATAAAGATTTATATATTATATTAAATTTAAAATTACAGTCACATAAAATAAATAAAAAATTCATTGTTATAAAATCTTAAGGTGTGCAGTGAAATTTGCTCTTAAAGTTTTTTTATATTTAAAAATATATTAAAATAATATTTTTTATTTTTTATATTGCACATTAAAATAATTAAAAATAGAAAAAATAATTTGAGGGTAAGTTTTTTTATTTTAAATACAATTAAATAACAATATCAAAAAATATTTTAATTTAGAAAACTAAGAACTCGCGAGAGCTTCTACTTTTAACTTTACGTGTCTTGTAAAAAAGTTTTTATACAGAAAAAACATGACATTGATTTATTTTTTAATTTTTATTTTATTTTGATAAATTAAATGTTAAAATAAAAAAAAATTAATATATTTATAAGTGAAAAATATCTTTTAAAAACATCAACGATACCAAACAAGCACGAAAGCTGAAAACAGTATAGACCAGTCACCAGAAACTAGTTAAGGTAAATGCAAATTCAAGAATGCAAATTCATCCCCTCAAACTCATGCTCTTTCCAACTTTTACAAGATGCTCATCCAATCTCACACCTTATTTCCTCAAAACCAAACCTTTCTCTTCTTCTTCTTTAGATTTTTCACCATGGTCTGGTCTGCAATCATGGAGAGAAAGCCCATTGAACAAAAACAGGTTTTGGGGACCAAATGGCCCACAAACAACTCCCTCTTCAATTGACACCTCTGGCACTTCGTTGTTGGACTCTGCTTCTTCTCTCGCAGAACTTGGTGCTCTTGTTCTCTCTACTAGCGACCCTCTCTCAAAATCCAAGCTTTCCCATTTGGCTTTCTCTAAGTGGCGCAATGAGAAGCTTCCTATTGGGGTATATGACCCTCCTTCAAGACCTGCGAGGCCTCCTAAACCTGAATTGGTTTGTTTTCTTATTGGCTTTTTGAACTTTATTCTTTAATGGGTGTCTCTAAAAGCTTGTATTGCTTATTGAAGTTTGGTTCTTTTGTGTTTGTTGTTATGTTTTGTGATGTTCTTCGCCAAGGTGATTTATGGGTTTTTTTTTTGTGAATTATCAATGCCACTGCAATGGACATTTGATCAAGTGTTTATGAGTTTGTGCTTGTATGGTTTATATATCGCTTACTTGCAGTTGTTCCATTGAACTATTTTCTAGTATCAGGAAGTGGAGATTTTTTATGGTGCCTCAGTGCAGGTATTGCTTTCACAGTGTGTAGTTCATGTCAGTGGGATTTGTTGCTTTCAGTTTCATTCAAAATTGGACGTTTCAGGACCTCACTTTCGTTTATGCTAGTTGTAGATTTTGTCCCTTTTCCTTTTTAAAAATGTCATTAGCTTGTTTTTCTAACAAAAGAAAATGCCATTACCCATGTCTGTTCTTAAAGTAATTTGGGTAGGGAGTTGATGATTTAGTGATTTGACTATTATTGGTTGATTGAAATTGCTAACTGTTTATAGGAAAACTAATTGCTTCAGTTGTTGAATTGGTCGTTGGATTCATGTGCTCATTTCCAGGTTTCCCCAAAGGAAATTCCAGCTCCTAAAGATTCAGGCATGCCTCTTAATGCTTACATGCTTCATAATCTTGCACATGTGGAGCTAAACGCAATTGATTTGGCGTGGGATACTGTTGTTCGATTTTCGCCTTTTAGCGAGATTTTGGAGGAAGGATTCTTTGCTGACTTTGCACATGTCGCTGATGATGAGAGTCGTCATTTTGCTTGGTGCTCTCAGAGACTTGACGAGCTGGGTTTCAGGTCGGTTAATTCATTGTTCTGAGTATTATCACTTCTTTATTGTTGTACCAAGTAGTATTAATTTCCTTGTCATTAGATATGGAGATATGCCTGCTCATAATTTGCTTTGGAGGGAGTGTGAAAAATCATCCAATGATGTTGCTGCCCGTTTGGCTGTGATCCCCCTAGTGCAGGTAATGTTTTGCTCTGAATACATTATCTAGACCTCATTGATCCAGTGGGTGTTAAAACATGCTTGCACGGTGATTTGTATGGCTCTGCATATGCCATTTTTTCAATTTTCCTTTGGTTTCCCATTCAAGGTTTTGCTATCCAAGAAGCTACTAACATGTTCATGACAAGCAAACATGCATGCTGGCATATGATTACTAAGATAATATGTTCTATGAAATCATTGTGTTTAGATGAATGGTAGAGATTTCTGCAGTCACCTCACTTTATATTTCAATTTCCATTTAATACATTTAGATATTTGTTGCCAGATAGGTAAGTGACAGAATTTTTACCCTCAGACAAGTGGTATGTGTCTTGTGAAGTCCTTGTTACTTCTGCCTGCCATTTCAGTTCTCCCAGCGAAGTTATGTTGTGTGCAAGTGCTGGTTAAAGGATGATTCTTACTTTTGATATGCCCATAGAACTCTTAAACGTAATGAAACTTCAATCATGGATAGATTGTACATAACACAGTTTTCCATTTCTATTTAAAGAGATTTTTTTTTTCTTTGTTCTTCTAATACCATGGATATAGGAGGCTAGAGGACTTGATGCTGGGCCAAGGCTAGTGCAAAAACTAGTTGGCTTTGGAGACAATAAAACATCTAAAATAGTGGCTAGCATTGCTGATGAGGAAGTTGCTCATGTAGCCGTTGGGGTCTACTGGTTTGTCTCAGTCTGTCAGAAAATGGGTCGTGCCCCTTGCTCCACTTTTAAAGGTTTAGCAGACCTTTTAATGTTTATCTTTGATAGCCACTTGTTCATATGTCTTTAGTTCCATATATGCCATGCAAGTATTTATTTGCAAATATTTTTTGCCACATTGGGCAGATTTGTTAAGGGAGTACAACGTGGAGTTGAAAGGGCCCTTTAATTATTCAGCTAGAGATGAAGCTGGGATTCCCCGTGACTGGTGAGAAAAACTGTATCTCAGTTATTGCTTGCTTGGAATTCAAAATGTGATGTATTTTAATACTTAATGTATGATCCATTGACCTATCTTCCTTGACAATCTAACAGCAAATCAATCTTCTTTTAACTGAGCACCCAAAGAAAAGCTGTTGTTAACTTGATTCTTGCATTACCTCTGCTGTGCAGGTATGACAAATCATCCACAAATAAACAAGACAAGGTTACAAAACCAGATACCATCGAGAAGCTTTCTGTGGTATGAGATTTAGATTCTCTTCCTCGCTCCCCAGGAGAGTTGACATACATGTGTACAATGTTAGGAGCAAATATACTAAGTGGTGGTTCACATTACAGGTTTACGGAAGACTTGCTTCTATCATTGCCATGGAGACTAAAAATGCAAGTTTGAATAAGCCAACTGGATAACGCAGTTTGAATAAGCCAACTGGATAACACGCAGGGCATAGGCAGCTTAGGTTGAAAATCCTAAAATTCTTATCAGATGGTTGGGTGACAAATTGATTTGAAGTTTCATATACCACTCAGCCAGTAGCTATAGTGATATAACTCGAAGACATGTCACTCTGAATTAGTTCAGGGTCATCTTGTCTTGCCTTTTGAAAGCTGGCAACTCCTGGTAACTGCCAATGTTGGCCCTTTCTGGAGCTTATAGTTTTAGAAGTGCTCTTTTCATCATATTGTCTTTCTTTCTATCATGTATATGTGTGAATTTTCCTTTCTGACTATTGAATTTGTATAGATTAGAACTTCTGTAGTTTCTTTCTTGATCAGTTCTCAGAAAATAGCTGTAACAATTGAAATCCCTCTTGATGACATTTGGATTGGGTGGCTGTGGAGCAGAATAGGCTATGATATCAGTCTTTCTGATTCTGCTGGATCCATGGATGAATGGATGATTTTTATATAATTATATAGATTAAGCTTTCTGAAAGCATCTTTCAGGTTTAGTTAACAAGCACTAGTTGTTTTATTATTCACAAAGGATTTTATTTTGGAATCAAGCTGTGGAGACCCATCTAGAAGAGCACAAATGACTAGCCACAAGGCCTGCAACAGGTGATTCGGCTGTTGTTCCAATTATGTTTATATCATCATCAAAAGAAGTGTTGATAGTGGCTGGCCGAGCATTGGGCATCTCAAAAGAAGTCATTAAACATTGTTTTTGTTGTTGGATCACATGCAATCCTCATTCGTTCGTGGAAGGGCTTCAGCTAGTGGGGGACACATTAAAATGGGGCTTATTTTGAAGATGAAAGGCATTAAAGCACTTCGACTGGAATGGCAACGGTATCCACGAGATAGGTTTTAATTAAACATATAGAAGACCTATATTCATTTTGACATGTATATATATATATATTTCACAATATTCATATTTTATTCGAGATAGGTTTTAATTAAACATATAGAAGCATAGTTTTAAAACCTGACCCGGTCATTGACCTGATCCA